GTAGTAAACCAGCATCTTAAACCAGGGTCAATTGACTGGCATTTCAACTTATGTGAACTGGAGTTTCATGCTTTGAACTACATTTTTTAAAAGCAAGTCTCTCTTTGTGAGTAAAAAGAAATTGAAATGATCCAAATGCCAAATAGACTGAATTTTCTTGATGGAAGACATCACTTTACCAGCTCAGAAAATACTACTTCTATGTGGGGATGAGTGTTGATGAATGGGCCAATCTACTACTTTCTGGTTGTTTGAATATATTCTCTTTTCTATAAGAGAATCGCAAAATGGAAGTCATTTGTTTATCTTCTTTAGAGACAACGTTATTTCTTTGGCTAAGAGGAATTTAGGTATTCCCATGGCTAGGTGAACATTGCTATTGTTGCAGAAAAATAAAAGAGATGAATTTCGAAATCAGAAAAAGCTTTATTTTGGTCAAAAGGTTCAGATAGCTTAATATAAATTCTAACATCTGAACAAAGATGTATCTTTATAGTAACAAAAACAGGAAGTATCTGAGATCTGCCTCTTTACCTAGCCCCCCTCCCCTATTGCTTTAGGCAGGAAGCTCCATGTGGTTTAGTTCTGCATTTTAACATAGTACCAGGAAGTTAGCTAATACTTGTAGTTTGACTTTTTGAACTCTGCAACTTTCTCAAGTCAAAAGGGCCCTTCAGAGATCATGCAGGCTGACCCCGTATTATTTCACTCTTATATTCAATTTCATTTTACGTTCTACCTTATCCCCCCCCCCCTTAAGACTCTATTTTACTTGTTTATAATTGAGTCTTACCTATTACAGAGCTTAACTCAACAATTGTAAGCATATAACATTTGACATAACATAATCAATTCAGGATAAGATACACAGTAATGCAAAGGAAAGACAAGTAATACATATGATTTTCAAATCTTATTCTCTGAAGCACTTTCTCTAATTACCCAGTTGAGAGTTGTACATATGTTCCTGCATCAGAAACTTCGTTTTCATTAAAGAGATCAGGGTCCATTTTACAGTCTATAAGGCTTTCTATCAAAATCAACTCATTTTTAAACTCTTATCTCTTTCACTGCTCTCATAGCTAGTTGTCTGAACAAGGAATAAAAGCCAGGCCTGTCACAACAGGAATAACATCTGTCTAATCCAGCCAGGCCCAGACAACTAAGAGAACTACATTTCTGTTGCTTGTAACTTCTGACCCATTTTGGATGCCCGGTCTTGTAAATCCTTGGCAATCTCTGACCACATCTGTCCTGACTTATTCATGTAAAAACAACAGTCTTCTCTCAAGAATACACACAAACCACCGTCTTGGGCCTTAACCAAGGTCCCTGCAATTTGGTTCAGGTTTTCTTGGAACTCCTCTGACAATTGCCTGAACTGTGTTATGGAGTGTGCCATTTCACCTACACCTGTTCCAACAGCAGTCCCTATCCCCAGGATTGCTAATAGTGGGACCAAGAGTGGCACCCTTTTTTTTTAACATGCCCCATGAGGGGAACAGGGATAGTGTGCTCTCCATTGACAACACTTATTTTGGGGAAGATGTATATGCTCCAGTCCAGTTTGTAGGTAAACACAAATACACATTTTTCCCACATAAGAAGAAAACTCCATTTTTCCTTACATACACACCTATAGTCATGGAAAATGTATGGGCTCATTGGTTTTTCTCATTAGTCCAGACTCCTAAAGTCCCTGCCACTAGCATGCCACCAGTGGCTGCAATGGGACTTCTAGTGTAGGGTCCTTTTGCTTTTCTCTGAGAATTGTGCCTTCAAAAAGATAATGTTAGCTTGCATTTCCAAGGGGAAGTAGGACACATAAGCCTGTGTTGGATCTAATGGAGACATGTGGTGGTATTGAGAAGTGACCTTCTGTTGAAATAATAGTGGGCATAAGGAGAAATGCCACTAGTTAGGTTTACATCCATAAGTATCGTTCTAGGGTCAAGGCCCTCGTCACCTCTCGTCTGGACTATTGTAACGCTCTCTACATGGGGCTCCACTTGAGGTGCACCCGGAGGCTCCAACTGGCGCAGAGTGCGGCTGCGCGGGTGGTTATGGGAGCAACGTGGAGCTCCCATGTAACACCTCTCCTGCGCGAGCTGCACTGGCTCCCGGTGGTCTTCCGAGTGTGCTTCAAGGTTCTGATTACCACCTTTAAAGCGCTCCATGGCTTAGGACCTGGTTATCTACGGGACCGCCTGCTACCACCAATAGCCTCCCATCGGCCAGTACGCTCCCATAGAGAGGGGCTCCTCTGGGTGCCGTCGGCCAAACAATGTCGACTGGCGGCCCCTAGGGGGAGAGCCTTCTCTGTGGGGGCACCTATGATCTGGAATGAGCTCCCCCCGGAGATACGGAGGATCCCGGATCTGCGCACCTTCCGTCGCGCACTTAAAACGTTTTTATTTCATCAAGCTGGCCTGGCCTAAATCTTCTCCCTTTTAAAATTTTTAAATTTAAATTTTAAACACTAATTTTAATTTGTTTAATTATGGGATATTTTTAAAATTTAGCCAAATTGTTTAATCTGTTTTAATCTATTTTAAATTTTGTATCTCTGTGTTTTATCTTTTGGCTGTTCACCGCCTTGAGTCCTTCGGAAGAAGGGCGGTATAGAAATTTAATAAAATAAAATAAATAAAATAAGTGTATTTCTGATGGACATTGATCTCCCATTAGGGATCCTACAGGAATATCTGGTTCCTGATGTCACTTTACACACAAGGAGGGTGACCCTAGGATTTCCACACCAACAGCTATAGGGGCAACAGTAGGGAGGTGGCTCATCCCTAGCCTTTTGAATGCATTATAAAAGTCTCCTTGCAATTTGGCTACTGCTACTTTGGTTCTCCGTCTAATATCTTTTTCAAGGACTATTGTAGCCCTGGTCCTGACCCAAAGATCTGGTTCAACTAGAACAGCATTGTAAGATGAAGGACCAGCAGACAAACAGAACCAGCATTTTTGGCTTAGGGTAGGGTCAGACTGATTAACTAGGCTTTAACTCAATTCCAGTATTCTTAACCTGTAGTTCCCTTTTCTCAATTGTTACAGGGGCCATTCTCCCTTTGTTCTACCCCACTCTGTTCTGGGATTGTCAGACGCTTGTCTTTAGGTCTTGGGGTTGGCTTAGGTCCAGGGTACTGACCCCACCTATTGATGGTATGTCGTTGGTGGGAGTTGACCTGTTCCAAAGAGTTCACACCTTGTGACTCATTCTTGCCTTGTCTTTTGGGGTTTTCAACTTCCCCAGATCCTTTCTCAAGGGCAAGGGTGTCACTTGGGCATTCTCACAACATTGGGAACTACTATTCAGTGTGTTATTACTCATTAGGCCCTTTGCCAATGATAGCCAAAGGCACAGAAAACTCATAATTGTCCTCTACACAGAACCTATCCAATCACAATTCCCTTAATCTACAAAATCACCACATCAGGAAGAAGGTTAGGGTTATATGTGACTTGGGAAAAGGCAATATTAGTTTTACGTATCCCACAGAACCACCTCTTATTTGTTAAATACAATATCCACATTCCTAGAGCTAGAGCAGTCCCACAGAGAGCTCACTCCCTGGCTTCTTTAAACATAAATATCTACAGGAGTTTCGTACTGCTCTCTGTCACAGTCTATGATTTTAGATTCAGCACCTGTCTTTTTGAGGAAGAGGTGATTCCAGCATACTATATACAGCAAATCACAATTAATCACAATAACAGCAAGCACGCTTATTAAAATAAGAGATAGTGTACCTATGGCTATACATGTTTGACTTCCCATTCCAAATCTTCAGCCGTACGTGGAGGGTCAGCTTCCGGTGTGACACCAGTAAGGCCTCTTCTGCCCCGTATGTTGCCTGCCCGTTGCCGGTAGGACAGTTATAGGGGGCGCTTCTTCAAGCGTACTACTAGGGGTCGGGCCTAGTCCTGGTCTGCCTCCCAATATTCCTAAACTGCGGACTTAACTTGAGTCCAGTGAATCCAAGACTTGGATTCCAACATTTTTACTGCAAGTGGGAACACATGACCACAGTATACGGGCCCTTCCACCTAGGCATTAAACTTTTTTCTTTCCAGTGTTTTACCCATTCAATCCTCCAAATCACAATTTAATCATTTCTACTTTCATCACAATATAATTTAAAATATTTCAATCATTACAATTTCCCTAATTAAACTTAGAATTGTTCTAGCTGTTATCCAAGTTACAACTTAATCCTTTTTACTTTTACCACCATATACCATTAAAGTATTTCAATTGTCACAGTTTATACTTATTCATATTTCTAGAAAAAGATTAAAAAAGAAAAACTTATCATTGTCTAGATTTCAAAATACAAAGACAAATACTCCAATTATTATTCATTTCATTTTTACAATCATGTTTTCCCATTTATTTCTTACTATTATTTGAATATTATAACTAGAAGTGGTCAAAAATGGTGGGCTAAAGGACACACAATATTGTTGGATTTCTTGTATTTGCTTATTTAATTCTCCCACCATCTGATTCACCCGCTTAGTTTCTATCTGGCTTAGGTCTCCTATATGATTTTCAAGTATTTCAAAAGGAAATAATCTAATTCCTTTACGTGGAGAATATCACACAGATCAAAGTAATAGTGGTAATGCATTTACTCACTTAAGGTGATTTTCAAGGCATTTTCAAACCTTTTTCACCTTTTCTCTTATAGTCCTGGTCAATCAGGCTTGGGAAGGTCTGCTCCACTCTGGTTGCTGTGTTGACCTGCATACGTTGTTTCAATTTCAGGACCCCATGCTTGCAAAAGAGTAGCTGGGTTAAAGCATCTGTTTGTTTCAGGATCACTCATGGTTTCTGAGTGAGGAGAGCTTGATGCTTGTAATTTCTGGGGTTTGTCAGCCATAAATGGCCCTTTGTCTCTAAAACTCCTTGAATTGCATGGCTGGTATAAATGGTAGTTGGCTGCGTAAGGGTTAATTTCCTAATAGTTGGACAGACAGTTTCCTCCCTTCCATGGCTCTCTGCCTTTGACTTATGGTAATGGGGCGGGGTTAGCTCTTCTGCCTGAGAGGAACAGGCACTGCTAAGGCTTCAGCATGGGGTGCAGCATATCCTGGTGAATTATCTTCTGCCTATAACTTCGGTACTTCAAACTCCGGCCAGGTATTGGGGATTTGACCTTCTTGAGCCATATTTCTCGCCATATTTCATCTGGGGGATGCCTCATTATTAATGACATCTTGTCTTCATCAAAGGACAGAATAGCTCCCATAGGATGTCATGACCAGGAGGGAACTGGACACACAGGCATATAGAGAAACTGGTGTTCTATAATTACAGATCTAGTTGCCCCTGTGTCTACTAAGAAGGTTACATTATTCCCCCTATTTTCATTTGGACCAAGGATTCAGTGGGGGCTTGACTGAACCCTGGTCCCCTTCAGTCTTCAGGCCTCTCATCTACTGCAGCCAGGTCTATGGCTTCCTTTCTTTACAGAATGCCTTTGCAGCTTTTCTTCAAATGCAGATTGAGCTCACTAGGCTGAGAAGCAACTTTTCTAAAACAACATACGCACAAACCTTGCAAGGATGATTCAAATATGCTGTCCTGGGCCCCTTTATGGCAGTGCAATCTTCTTAGCCAACACAAGAACTGTCTTTCCTCTTTGTGTCCCTCTACTGCTGAGCAGAATACTTTCACTCAATTAAATCCAATGGAATTTGGGATGCAAAGAGAAGGAAAGCAAGCTTTGTCACTTTTGTGGCTAAGCAAAGGTCTCAATTAGATGCAAACGAGTCTTTTTATAAGTTGTGCGCAGAGAAGAGATGCATTTTCACTCAAACAGAATGTCCAGCAATGCTCCAAGAGGAGAAAGGGAGGGTCCCTTCTTGGAAACTGTTGGTCTATTATAGCCTGGAGGTTTCCCCTGTCTTAATCTCTCTCTCTCTTCACCGTAAAGGAGAGCAGTCATCAACCGTTCCAAGTTCTGCCAGGTAGGATTGTGGGTCTTTATAATGACTTGTTGGAAGGAAAAAAAAGGAGCCTTTCCCTTTAAGGATTGTTGGAAAGCAGAGCTTCCCTTTTTTTCTTGCTTGAGAGCAAAATTAGTTTATTGTTTATAGGAAGGCAGGCAAGCACAGCTTTCCGTGGCTACTGTGAACAACTGTACTTTGTTGAATCTTTTCCATCAAAGCCTGGAGTTCAGTTTTATTCTTGCCCTTGCTCTCTTCTAATCCAATTTTTATTTTTAAAAGAGAAGTATAATTTTTCTTGGAGTTCTTGGTAATTAGGATTAAAATTTATTTCAGCAAGTAAAAAGGAATTTTTGTTTTCTCTTCTTTTTGTTTGATGTCTTGTTGTACAAGTTTTTCATTTTCAGCTATTAATTTGTCTAAGAACTTCTATCCCTTCCTTGAGGTTATTTACCAGAAACATCATTTCTTCAGAGATAGTAATTACTGTAGGTAAATCTTTTAGTCTTGCTATTTCTAATGTAAGTTGATTCTGATATTATTATTATTATTATTATTATTATTATTATTATTATTATTATTATTATTATTATTATTAATTAAGCTATCATTTTCGAATTGCATAGCTTCTAATTTTTCTTGTTCATTTCATTTTGCAAATCATCTAATTACTGTTTAGCTTGCCTAATCATATTATCTTTAAGATTTTCAATATTTATTTTGTGTCCTATTTGTAAATCATCTTTCACTTTTGATAATTCTTCATGCCTGAATAAAAGTTGAGTCCTTAATCTCTCTATCACTCCATATTGTCAGTTGTCCCAGAATCACATGTGGTTGGTGGTTCTGCTTCAATAATAAAGGGAACCTTTCTTTCCAATCAGCCTCCAGCCTCCATTTTATTTACAGCACCTTCCTGCTGTATTGGAACTGAACCAGATGGATATTTCTTCCAAGAAATGAAAAAGCATTTGGAGATACACAACTTTCCTTGCACTAATTTAGAATTGTGTTATAGGACAGAGAAAGAATGGCAAGCCATCCTTTAGCAAGTGGGGGAATTGGAAAAGGCCCTTCTGGTGCTCAGTCTGGAATCCACGGGGAGATCTGGGCAACAACTGGGCAGAAGATCCTAGAGGAGAAAACCACCCTTTCAAAAATTCAGCCCTGGAACTTCAGGAGCTTCCAATACAAGGAGGATGAAGGCCCCCGAGGACTTTGCAGCCGGCTCCATTCCTTTTGTAGTCGATGGTTGAGACCAGAAAAGCACACAAAAGTGCAGATGCTGGACCTGGTGGTTCTGGAGCAGTTCCTGGCGCTTCTGCCCCTGCAGATGGAGAGCTGGGTGCGGGAGTGTGGAGCAGAGACCAGCTCCCAGGCGGTGGCCCTGGTGGAAGGCTTCCTCCTGAGCCAGGCGGAGGAGAAGAAGGAGCAGGTTGAGTTGCAGGTGAGAGGACTTCCTCTTGGGACTCCAGAAAAAATTGAATATAATAAACAAGAAGTTCACATTTTTGTATCCTTTTCATAGTTTTATTAAGCTTATCAAGATATAAAATACAAAAAATTGAAAATAGTAGGAAATGGGGTGTGGGAAGGGAAGGGAAAGAAGTGTAGGGGAAAGGGGGAAAAACGAAAGAAAACCATTGACTTTTTTTTAGCGCTGTCACATAAAACATTACAGCTTCAATGTTTTACTTTTACATATTTATTTGACCATGTATTTGATTGTTTTAAATATATCTTTGGTAGTTTATCAGTGTTAACTAGAAGGATACATCATTTTATAAAAGATTTATTTTAAATTATAATTTAATACAAATATTAAACTCTTCAACCGCATGTCTTCCCCTTCTTCAGGCATTATATTATACACAAACATCTTTGCCTTTGGATCAATGTATTCAAATTTTGATGTCTTCTTACCAGACTTTCCTGGCATTCATACTATGTGTAGAAGCTCCACTAATCTTTGTGTAGTTCCCTTATCCATTCTAGAAGAAAGATTTTGCACAGGGATTTCTTTCTTCCTTCCCTGCCTAATTGATCGACACCGAGTGATTTGCAGTGGTGTTCACTGGAAAAGAAACCACTTCATGATGTGTGATTTCCATTAATTCTTTTCTCCTATTTCAAGTCCTTCGCAATGGAGATCAGAGATCCTGAGAGAAAGAGGCATCTGTCAAATCTCCCTCAAGAACTGTCTTTCAGGGGGATCCCTCAGGGAGATCCAATTCAGGACACCTCAGGAGGTAATATAAGGTCCTTCCACTCCTTTGATGTATCCTAACTTTCTCATCTTCTCTGTGTCCTCTCCTCTATAGCATTCCTCCTCCCATTTCACTAATGATGCTTTTTGAAATTCTGTCTCCCTCACAGGGAAGAATAGAAGGAAGTTGACTCTTTGTTTTGGGGGAGCAGAAACCAGGATTGAACCTCCAACTCAGGTAAGAGAAGAACATTCATTTACTAGATTTTTATTTTCCATTTCCCTCAGGAAATCAGAGGATATGGACCAGGGGTGGGTTCTATTTACCTTTACTACCGGTTCGAAGCGGGGCTGTGTATGCATGCTTGTTTCGCTCGTGTGTGTGCGCGCTCTTCTGCGCATGCGCAGAAGTGTTTTGATTACGGTGGGGTCAGTGGGCAGGGCCTCCCGCCGGTTTTACTACCGGTTTTATAGAACCGGTGCGAACTGGGGGCAAACCACCACTGATGTGGACAGCATAGGTAGTAGTCTTAAGTGTGAAAAATGAGCATGTCATTTTTTCGCTGCTGTGTAACTTTGAACAGTCACTAAACAATAAAAACTGTTGTTAGTCGAGAACTACATGTAGTGTCTTCTGCCATTTTGCCCTCTGCTTTTGGTTGGAGATTCTTTTTAGGAATTTTTTGAAGACTAGTTTTTTAAATACAAAAGTCTTTCACTAATTACTGTGTTTACCCAAAAATAAGACCCGGTCTTATATTCTCTTAGGCCGCGAAATAGCACTCAGGCTTATTTTCGGGGGTGTCTTATTTTTTTTACATACAGGAGGTGATGAGCCCACCCTCTCCATCCTACATCTGCTTGCCTCGGTAACAGTGGCCAAAGTTTTCAGCACATCCCGGTCTCCACCTGCCCTGCTTGCTGGGCCTGCTGCTGCTGGGACACTTTTGGCCGCTGGCTGCCAAGCGGCTGCCTCTGCTGCTGTTGGCCTCCTGGCAGTGTTTCTTTCGGCCATCCTACTGGGCTGTCCTGTGTGCTGCAGGGTCAGTCATCCCAGATCTATGACTTCTGGAGCGCCCCCTTGCTGCATGGGCTTTGCAGAACCATAGGTCTGCAACAACAGCTATGCCTTCTCCCTTCGAAAACACGCCAGGATGTAATCTGAATAACATCACCCGAGAGGTCTCATGGAGAGGCGGGTGAGCCCCTTGCCCTTCGCTGTGCGGCTTCTCTCCCATGTTTCGCCTATGCTTTAGCCTAGCCTTGCCCTCTATTTATTTTATTTATTTTTATTTATTAATTTAATTTGTATACCGCCCTTCTCCCAGAAGGGATTCAGGGCGGTGAACAGCCAAAATTAAAAAACATACAAATGCAAAAGTTAAGATAATTAAAAGAATTAAATCACTGGCTACCCAATTTAAAACCCCAAATCCATAAAATTTAAAATCCCAATTAAAAACCATTTAGGCTAGGCTGGCTTGATGAAATAAAAACGTCTTCAGGGCTTTACGGAAGGTCCGGAGGTCCGGGATCAATCGTATTCCAGGAGGCAGCTCATTCCACAGGGCGGGTGCCCCCACAGAGAAGGCTCGCCCCCTGGGGGCCACCAGCCAACATTGCCTGATCGACGGCACCCCGAGGAGGCCCTCTCTGTGAGAGCGTATTGGCCGGTGGGAGGTTATCGGTAGCAGCAGGCGGTCTCGCAAATACCCTGGCCCTAAGCCATGGAGCGCTTTAAAGATGAGAACCAACACCTTAAAGCGCACCCGGAAGACCACCGGGAGCCAATGCAGCTCGCGCAGGAGAGGTGTTACGTGGGAGCGCCACGTCGCTCCCATAATCACCCGCGCGGCCGCATTCTGCACCAGCTGGAGCCTCCGGGTGCTCCTCAGGGGGAGCCCCATGTAGAGAGTGTTACAGTAGTCCAGGCGTGACGTAACCAAGGCATGAGTGACTGTGCACAAGGAGTCCCGATCCAGAAAGGGGCGCAACTGACGTATCAGGCGAACCTATATCAGGCGAACCTATATCACCCTCCAAAGAGGGAGGCCAAGCTTCAAAGGGGATGGGAGGACCGGGACAAATCTGAAAAAAACAGACCCTTCCTTCCATGCCAGGTTTCCGTGAGCAAGCCCGGGGAGCAGCTGGCGAAGATGCAGCCCTCAAGTGACTGCTCTCCCTTTTTTCCTTCTCCTTCCTTCTGAAGTGAGGGTCGAAAAGCCCCATCATTTCCAGCCACCATCCCACCACCTGTCTTTGCTTACAGAGTGTGTGGCACAGCTGGAGGATTAGGTTGGATGACAGGGGCCGAATGTGCACAAGTTGTGGCGTGGCACCACCCTGCCCTGCCACTTGCCTTCCCTCACCTCGCGGGGGCACCAGCAAGAGATGTGTGGGGGCAGGTAGGGAAGGCATGCGATCCAGCCCACCAGACATGCCATGAGGTTGCCTGCTCTGTAGTAGTTGCGGGCAAGCAAACATGGACAGAGTGGGCAGAGGGTCCACACGGCGCATCTGGTAGGCCAGATTGCATACCTATCCCACCCCACCCACGTCTCTGCCAGTGCCACTTCTATGAGGCGAGGCAGGGGTGGCACCACGGCAGGGCTCCTACATTCTCAGCCCCTGCCATCCAGCCTGATCCTCCAGCTCCACCACTGCACTCCAAAGAAGAAAAGATAGATGGTGGGACAGATCGCATGCCTCCACCTTCCCTTGTGCAGGCCAAAGTTGTTCCAGACATTATCTGGCCCCGCACATGTGCTCACCATCTCCTATGACGGCCATGTCCACTGCCCCACCCTCCCTGATGACGCACTGAACTCAGGCTTATTTTGGGGGTAGGGCTTATATTATGAGCAACATGGAAAATCATGCTAGGTCTTATTATCGATAGATTGTATTTTCTGGGAATCACGGTATTCTCCATGCTTTTCAATAAAAAATGTTTTACATAATTCTTCATGGTGCCCCTTTTTAATGTAATTCTTTGAGTTGGATTTGTGCAAGGATCCTGAAAAATATTTAAATATTCAAACTGGCAAATTATCATTGAGTAAAAATTGCTCTGAAAGAGAACATAAATTTCGCTTTCAAAATAAATATTAATTCCCTGGTTTGTGCCTGGATTTGGAGGCCAAACAAACCAGCTTTGCAAAGGCTAAGAAATGTCTTCCTCAGAAAATGTTTTCCATTTTCTTATTTACATGCCAGCCTATGGCTCACAATACCAGCAGCTTCTTTGCAATCTGAGGAGGGGCAGAGTCTCTGGATTTTGATGGCACACAGATCAATGGCTGAGCTCTCCCAGTACTTTTATGAAGGTGTTGAGGATTGTCAGAGTGTGCACAACGTAACTACTATTTTGAGACAACCCAGGAGCAAAATACAGTACACAGAGGTTTGTCTTACAAACAGTGGTTTATATACAAGACTTTTATATAGATTCATACACGTGGTAGGCACATACCAGGCAATCAATCAATCTTCAACTCTTCAACTCTACACTGAGAACTACAATGCAGATAGAACACAACGAGGAGAAAGATACATGAGGGAAGAGAGAGAGAGAGAGAGAGAAGGGGGGGGGACACCTTCTCATGGCCTCCCTTATATAGACAGCTTCTTAAAGTGGCAATAACCCTGCTGACTCATCCTCAGTCTTAAAGTGGCTGGTCAGTTTTAAATCATCATTACTCTGACATGCCTCCCATTTAAAACTGAACAGCTGAATGCTTTAATATTCCTACGGTCAGTATCTACTGACTCTGTATACTCTATCTCATTATTCTCCATTACATCCTGTTTACCATCCCTTGGCTGGATACCGTTACTTTCTCTTTTCACTAACTCAGTTTCCTCCGCAGGATTATCTGCCTGTCTGTCATTCTCATTAACTTTGGCTTCCTCAATTTATCTTGTTGTTCCTGAATGCCACTTACTCTAACCCCACTTGCAGTGAACTGCTCAGGAGGTATACCTTTATTACTCCTTTCAAATCTCCTTGGTATTATCTGTTTCCAGCATTTCTGTGCTTTTACTTTTTATCACAGGTCTATCCTCTTCTATATCTACTTCTGACCTGCCTTCATGTCGTTCCTTTATCATACTTCCTTCCGGAAAATTAGTGCTATGCATTGGCATGAACACATCAGGATTAGCATGCACCCTATTCCAATTGTTCTGCTCCACAAAACTAGCAGATCTAGAAATCACAACCTTTCTGGTTCCATCTGTAAACCCTTTGGAACCTGGCTCATACCCAATAAACCTAAGCTTCCTGGCCTTTTTCTGTCCTTTTCTCCTGGTGCCTTTGGGACTATGCACCCGGGCATAACTGCCAAATGTCCTTAGATGAGCCAAGGAGGGTTTCCTTCCACGCAACAAGAAATACGGCGTTTCCTTTATTGCCACACTCCATATCCTGTTAATTATATAATTTGCTATCTCTGTAGGTCCCCGTCCCCCTCCCACCCCCCGTAAACCTTACCCATGCTTCCATCAGCAAGCAATGAGTCCTTCATGGTCTGTATCATACCATTTCTTCTTTTAACCATTCCATTTTCAGCCGGCGAATATGGATTCATACATCTAAACTTAACCATTATTGGAAATTATCAGACATAAACTCTGTTCCCCTGTCTGTTTGCAGCTGGCATACTTTACAACCATACCATCGCTCTACAAGTTTTCCCCATTGCTTGGATTGTTGTAATATTTCTGTCTTGCTTTTTAGCAAATAACAAACCCATATCTACTGTAGTCATCTACTATGACTAAGGCATACCTAGCTCCTCCTAAATTGGGTGCCATAGGGCCAATCAAATCAGCATGTACTAACTGCAATACTTTGTTTGTTTGCCTTGAGCTTTTCTTACTTACAGGATACACCCTGGAGTTTGACTCCTTACAAACAGCGCAATCTAAATACATATTGCATTTCTTTATTCTAAACCCCTCAGCTAGGCTTGGCATCTTCTTTAGTAGATCAAAACTTGCATGCCCCAATTGTGTATGCAACAAATGTACACAATTGTCATGTGTGGGAGCATCCATAAGTGCACATGCACAACTCTTCTCCTGCCTTGCAAGAACGTACTTCGCTCCTGCCTTGCAAGAACGCCATCCTTCTTAACCCCTCGTGCGCGTATCCTTCCACTTTTCCTAATGGAGTACTGCCCTCCTGCAAACAGTATTTCATAACCCTGCCTGTCTAACCTGGATACACTTAACAGATTATCTTCATCTTCTTTCTTTTTTTTTTATTAGATTTGTATACCGCTCTTCTCCTTTCGGACTCAGGGCGGTGAACAGCCAAAATAAAAACATTTGTACACAAAAGTTAAAATAATTTTTAAAAATAATTAAATGAAATTTGGCCCATAATTTAAAACATTTCAATTAAAAATCAGTATCAAACGTTAAATCCAACATGGAATCAGGCCAGCCCGGCTAACCGAAAAAAATAAGTTTTTAGGGCCCGACAAAAAGTCCGGAGGTCTGGGATCACTCGTATCTCTGGGGGTAGATCGTTCCAGAGGGTAGTTGCCACCACAGAGAAGGCTCTCCCCCTGGGGGTTGCCAGCCGACATTGTCTGGCTGACGGCACCCTGAGGAGGTCCTCTCTGTGGGAGTGAACCGGCCGGTGGGAGGCAATTGGTGGCAGAAGGCAGTCCTGTAAGTACCCCGGCCCTAAGCCATGGAGCGCTTTAAAGGTGGTCACCAACACCTTGAAGCGCACCCGGAAGTCCACCGGAAGCCAATGCAGCTCGCGCAGGAGAGGTGTCACGTGGGAGCGCCCCGTTGCTCCCATAATCCCCCGCGCGGCCGCATTTTGCACCAATTGAAGCCTCCGGGTGCACCCCAAAGGGAGCCCCATGTAGAGAGTGTTACAATAGTCCAGACGAGAAGTGACGAGTGCTTGAGTGACCGTGCATAAGGAGTCCCGATGTAGAAAGCGGCACAACTGGCATATCAGGCAAACCTGATAGAAAGCCCCCCTGGCCACGGCCATCGTATGCTCTTCTAAAGACAGCCGTGCGTCCAGGAGGACGCCCAAGTTGCGGGCCCTTTCCGTGGGGGCAAGTGATTCACCCCCAATAACCAGGGATGGCACCAGCTGGCTATACCAGGACGCCAGCAGCCACAGCCACTCGGTCTTGGAAGGGTTGAGTCGAAGCCTGCTTCTCCCCATCCAGACCCGCGCGGCCTCCAGGCACTGGGACATCACTTCCAAGGCATCGTTGGGATGGTCTGGGGTGGAGATGTACAGCTGAGTGTCATCAGCGTACTGATGGAACTCCACCCCAAAACAATGGATGATCTCACCCAGCGGCTTCACATAAATGTTGAACAGGAGGGGCGAGAGAACCGACCCTTGTGGCACCCCCCAAACAAGGCGCCTCGGGGTCGACCGCTGCCCCCCTGTCAACACAGATTGCGACCGGTAGGAGAGATAGGAGGAAAACCACCGCAAAACGGTCCCCCCCACCCCCAATCCCTGATCTAATGCAGGTACATATAGGACATTGTACAATGTTTCTCCTATCTCAGGTACATACATGTTGCCTTTTCCTTTTACAGCAGCTCTTTGACCATTAGCTAGACTAACACGTTTGCATAGTTGGTTTCAAACCAGAAAATGGTTGTGCGTCATTTACAATATGCTGACTCACCCCACTGTCCAACAACCAAGTGTTCCTGGTGTTTTCAGATACTGTTGCTGTCAGGGAAAATGACACCTCATGTGTTGAGTAGTTTTCCGCCCTTGTCTCGCTGCTCCTCTGTTTCTCCTCTCTGGGCAGCGTTTCTGGAGATGCTCTGTAGAACCACACGTGTAGCATCTCTTCACTGAATAAACTGTCTCAGCTGCTTTGCCGGCATCCTGGATTGGTGCAGGTGCTGGTTTGTGCTGAATATTCTTGCCTCCCTTTCCCGGTCGCCTCTCCAGCCGTTTCTGCTCCTCCTCCAACAATCGACCAGTCAAATATGCCATGGTTAAATCCTGCTCTTGCATGGACTCTAGACTAGTCACAAGAACGTCCCATGAACTGTCCAATGAACTAAGCACCACATAAACCTTGTGTGCCTCATTAAATCTCATTCCTCTTTCCTCTAACTCAAGGAATGTCTTTCTCATATCCTGCAGATGTGTGGACATGCTCTCCGCCGGCTTTAGTTGTGCTATATACAGTCTCCTTTCTGCAACACTTTACTTCCCACAGTCTCTCTAATATAAACTGCGCAACGCCACCCAGCAGTCTTTCGCAGACTGGAGACCCCTCACGTGTATCAGCTGACTGTCCTCTAAAGCCAGAATTATGCTGGTTAATGCCTTTTCATTTCTTCTCTGTTCCCCATCATCCAGGACTGCTGGTGGATTAGTAACAATCATCCACAACTCCTCCCTCTGCAGTTACATCTCCATCTTCACATTCCAGGAGAGGTAGTTTGTCTCATTCAGCCGAGACACCAAGATAGCACCTCCCATTATGCCGACGGAGGTCATGTTGCCTTCTCTCTTTCACAAGCCATTAACTACTATCAAACCATGTTGCACAACTCCTCTGTCTCTGGTGCAAGCTCTCACTGGGTTTCTCTTCTCTCTAGTCACTCTGGCCTTCTCTATAGCCTGGGCCCATAAAATGTCTGGAAAGAATCCCTTCGCCTACAGGCACACTTCTGAAGGGTTAGGATCACTTATTGGTGGGTTTTCCAAGGCCCACCTGCCAGTTGATTCTTTCAAGACACTGAGGGCCTTTTGATTGTGGATGGATTAATAGATCCAGAAGGAAGAGTATTATGATGATGGTTGGTTGGCTGGCTGGCTGGCTGTTTGGTAGATCAATTGATCCAGAAGGAAACTGGGCTTATTTAATCTGAATGGCAGTGAAAGTCCTACAGAATCATTCAAGTTGATAAATTCTGCCTAAAATATTTCTTTAGTCACATGCTTTTT